ACCTCAGTTCCCAGATATGCCCTTTGTAGGGCTAATTCCTCTTCAACCTTCAAGTTTCAGCTAAGATGTCACCTTATTTGACAAGTTTTTTCCTGATTCACAGCTCAGGTGCTTTACCTCTGAACAGCCCTGGCATTTAGTACTACCTCTACAGCACTGCAGACTTAATTATTTTTTTTTTTTAAGAAGTTTTCTTTTTTTTTCTTTCTTTTTTTTTTTTGATTTATTTATTTATTTATTTATACAAGCACTGGGTACAGTCAGAAGTGCGGGAGGGTGAGAGAATTCACCAAAGCCAGAGTGGGGAACAGAACAGGCAGATGGACTGAAATACACTGCTGAGGGGAGCAACGGGCTAGTCAGGAGAAGTCTGCTGCACCAGTGGGTTGCTCCCTGGCTGGGGATCGAACTCATGCTGCAGTGGCTGTGGTTAACTTCATAGGTTGTGTCTTAACCCTTTGCGCCACCAGGGAGGCCCACTGCAGACTTAATTATAATGCAACATAATTATGCATCCATGCAATTATCTCTCCTACTGGACTCTATTCTCTGTGAGGGCAGGGAGTATGTCTGTCATCCCTGCCATTGTGCATAGTCCAAAAGTTGACATGCTAAGTACTCCAAAACACTTGTTAAATGAATGAATGAAAAGCGGGAAAAAAGTTCTAAGGAAGAAGTAGCAGTAGGTGATGGATTGCTTGATTATAAGAAGAGTCTAGAAAAACTCCTATATCTCTACATATTTAAGTAGGAAGATGGTGGTGCTACTTTCTGAGACAGAGAATACAGAAGGATTTAAATTTGAGGAGAAAAATAATTAGAAACACTCATGTTTGAGATGTCCATTCCATTTGCAAGGACAACAGGCAGGTGGAAATAGGGTTTGGAGTTCAAACCTTTGGACTGGACTTGGAAATAATTAGTGTATCACTCAAGAAATTGCCTCATCAATTTATTTCTTTGCAAAAACACACTTTAAACTCCCCATTAGAATCTCCATCCCCATGTTGCCTCCTTCTGCAACTTAATGGTGCTTGTGTTCGTTTTCTGGGGCTGCCATACCAAAATATCGCATGCTTTATTTCTCTCAGTTATGAAAACTAAATGTCCAAGATCAAGATGGCAACAGATTTGATGGCTTAAGGAGGCTCACAGATGGCTGCCTTCTTGACATGTCCTCACGTTGCCTTGCTCTGGGCATGCGCCTCCTCGGGGACGCTATGTATATCCAACTTTCCTCTTTTTATAAGGACACTGGTCAGATTAGATTAGACCCATCCAAGCAAGTTCATTTGAATTTAATCACATTCTAAAAACCTTCAAATATTGTCACCTTCGGCGATGCTAGGTTAGGATTCATCATAAGAATGTTGTAGGGGACTCAACCCCACCCACACCATGTCCAAACCTCATGTCCTCCTTCTCACCACTGCTCAGAAGGGGGCCAGCCCACACTTATCCACCAGAGCACCTAAGTCTAGAGGCAGTTTCCCTTCAAATTTCCAAGATTCAGACTTCAACATGTTATGAAAATCAATGAAAGAGTGGTTTATTCTGTCTGGGATAGGGGTGATGAGGAGGTGGAAGACTTGAAGAGTGAATAAGGGTTCACAAGTTACAAAAGGAAGAAACATCCTAGGCAGAGGGACCTACATAAACAAAGACATCATGATGTTAAATTTCATTCAGTTTGGAGATAATTAGATGTAGCTCTTTTGTGGGTTGAAAGTGGGGGATGGTAAAAGCTGATGCAAGAGGGGTAGGCTGAGGTCACATGTAAAGAGCTTTCCTTTTGGCATGAAATCAGCCAATGCTTTATCTAAAGAAAAAAAGACAGGGAATTAGAGGTTGCTCCAACCACTCAGACAGGAAGCAATGCAATTACTTGCAAATGTTGGGAAGATTGGAGGATGGCATTAAGGCAAAGAATTATTGGGAGTGGCTGGGGTGAATAACAGATAAAGGGAAAAGCTGAGCAAACAGAGGAAGAAGAAAAAAAAAGAAGCCATCTGTTTCCGATGTAAAAGATGAACTCTAGTATCCTAGCTGGGGTTCTGTTGAGTTGAGTTCTGTCTTTATTATTATTATTTTTTTTTTTTTAAAGATTTATTTATTTATTTATTTATACAAGCACTGGGTATAGTCAGAAGCGCGGGAGGGTGAGAGAATTCACCAGAGCCAGAGCGGGGAGCAGAGCAGGCAGAAGGACCGAAGTACACTGCTGAGGGGAGCAGCGGGCGGCAGGAGAGGTCTGCGCGCCATGGGGGACCCTCCTCCAGTGGCCGGGGAGCAGCTGGGGATCGAACCGGAGCTGCAGAGGCTGTGGGCAGCTTCGCAACCCAGCGCTCAACCGCTGCACCACGGGGAGGCCCTAGTTGAGTTCTGTCTTAAGAAGGCACAGTCTTTTCACAGACTTTCCTGGAGTTTGCCAGCCTCTCAGAAAAGTAAGGATGCAGATTAAGGGCAAGGGAGTAGAAAAGGCTCTAGACATCAGGGGGTCAGTTAATATGGAGGCACAGCAGCAAAAGGACCATCAATGATGAAAGTGGCAAAGAGTTCCAGGAGGACCTGGATGAGGTCAGCTTGAGTAGGCTGAGCATGAATATGCCCCGTTCTGACTGGTCATTTCGGAAAAACAGTCAGCTCAGGGCTGGGCTACAGACCAAGGACTAGTGAGCTGCTTGTGACCACACTAAGGACAGAGTGAAGACTGTCAACTGGTTTAACTTTCCTTTCTCAGGACACTGGGACAGAAAAGCAGAAGGATCCGGCACCTGAAAAGGGAAGGAAGGGGCTCACTATGCTTGGTCACTGTCCTCCCTAGTGAGGGGCCACAATCAGAGGTTAAATGTAAGGAAGGCAAAAGAACCAAGTGGATGATTATTTCCCAACTGCAGGCTAAGGTACAGCCAGTCGTCTTTTTCATTCCATAGAGAAAGGCCAGCTCTGAGTAAATATGGCTACGGTTGGCCTCTCTATGTCAGCCAAAGATGAGACTCTCACCAAAATGAGTTTTATTTTTCTTTACAAAAGCTCTGGGCACAAGGATGTTCCATTCTGGGGCGGCCCCGTGGCTCATCAACCCTGATGAGTCAGTGGAGCCGGCTATGCTCTTTACTGCCCAAGAATAAAAGCTCAGCAAGACCAAGTGTGGGCAGTTGAGCTCAGAGGCCAGGCTTGTCCCCTTGAAGCTGGTGACTGAAGAGAGAGCCGTGTGGGCCTGGATCACTGGCACAGAGAGGAGTGCCTGCAAGGCTGGGCTGAAGGCTCTGAGCTCAGGCTCTCCTCGGATGCCTACCCCAGGGATGTGGAGAAATGACAGCCCTGGAAGCAGCCTGAGGACTCTGCTGCAGGCCAGGCCTCCACAGCTTCTCACTGAAGCTCAAGCAACATTAGTATTGAATGTGCATATTATTGTAAAAAACAATGGCAGCATGCTCTAGAAAACCAAGAATACGATTATGGTGTTGCTCCCCCAAAGCAAATTGACACAAATTGGGGTTTTCTTCCACTGCACCTATACTACTTAGTTCACAATGTCAAAGTTAGAACCTGAGGAGCTTGTAAAGAAAATCCACCAGAGCACCTTTAGCATAAGACTGTATTTGAATATGCCAACAATGAGAAGTTTCTGAAAGAGCTTTCTCACCTGGGGAAGGGGGCTGAATCAAGTGGCATTTTTATGAGCATTTAAGAAGAGGGATCAGCCCAAGTTCAGCCAGTTTGGGGAGTAGTTAAAAAAATGGTTCTCAGAACTAGGAGGAATTGTTCTTAAGGAGGAGCGTTGTGTGTGCTTTTACGAAGGGGGTGGGTGAGTAGGGAGGGTTAGGACTAAAGTCACGTGGAAGAGAGGTAATGAGGGACATCTAATGGAGACCAAGACATGCACAGGCCACAGTGGAGAATTCTGTCTTTCAAAGTCTAAAGAGACCAAATGCAAACCCAGCTCTTCTGACTCCTGGCCAGAGTTCTGCCCCTGTGCTGTAGGTGGCTCGACCTTCCCCACTGTTGCAGGCAATTGAAAAAGGAGCGCATGTATCCTGGCCCCACTGTGGAAGGAAAGGTTGAGATAAGCAAAGGTCTGTGCTGCCAATTGGAAAAAGTGGAGCATTTCACCATCTAACTCTAAGAACAGGATTTATTTTCAACTGGACTGGGGCCTGCAGGATTGTGTCCCTTGTGTTACTGTGGCCTGCAGTCACAGGGGAAGGGAATTCTGCCACTAGGGACTGAGAACTCAAGGGCTTCCTTACAAAGGAGCTCACTTCCTGATAGTTTGACTCTGGAAGCAATATTGTGTTCATCAGTGACTACAGTTGCGCCCAGTCTGAGCTGGATCCTCAGATTTTCCAACTCTCAGCCCAGGTGGCCAGGGCTCTGGCCCTCTCTCCCCAAGGAGCAATCAACCCCTCGAAATCGCTGTTCAGAGACCACACTAGAGCAGAATGTTCATCTTTCCTTGCTGTGTCTTTAAGAGCTGCAGGAATGCAAAAGAGAGTCTGGAGGAGGGGTGGGGTCTCCTGACAAGACTTCTGGGAAAAGGATCCTGGGAATTTTTTTCCAGTAACTAAACTGAGATTCCAAGTTTGAAAAGCTGGGGGTGGCTTGTGTTGGGTCAGGCCTGTGATTGGCCTGTAGAGTCCAGTAGGGAGGAGGAAAGTAAAAGTAAAACACAAAGAGCTGAGGAGAGGGGAGAAGCCCTCCTCGCCCCTACCCCAACTCACACCCCGCCAGACCTGGAAACAGCTGCAGCCACTAGCCTGGAAGGGTCAGTGAGTGTCAAGGGTGATGTCAACAGAGGCTGGACCAGGGAGCTCTCTACCCACAGTGGGCCTGCAAGGCCTCCGGGGACCAGCTTGCCAACAGCTGGACTTGATCACCAGCTTGCAAAGTGAGGTCAGGCATCTGGTGGAATAACAAGCAAGCTTTGCTCTCAGGCTGTTTTTAAAGGATTTGCCACAGCAGCAGCTAGAAAGCAGGAGACCACCACCTGAGCCCTTGAGTCTTCTTCGAGAAGCACAGCAGAAGGGTGGCGTGCAGGACGATGAGGGCCTTCCAGGGAGCTTCTGCTCTCCTGGCTCTGTTCCTCGCAGCCTTTCTGCCCTCGCCCATGGGCACCCAGGACCCCGCCATGGTGCACTACATCTACCAGCGTTTTCAAGTCTTGGAGGTAGGTGCATCTGCTCCCCTGGTCCCGGGAACAGGCCTCCCCATGAAGTCACCTTATCCTACTCACCTTTCCCACCCTCCTGGGATGCAGTTCTCCCAGATTGTAAATGACAATTACATTGCTAAAGGAACACTTGAAATTTTTCAGTCTAAAGGCTTAGAGCACCAACTCCAGAGTCCACACTGCAGACCCCTAGCAGGGCCTCACTCTGCTTGGACTTGGTGCTCTTCCCACCTGTAAAATCAGGATGCAAATAGAATTTATCTCCCACAGTTATTCTGAAGATTTAATGATTTTTAAAAAAAAATTTAAAGATTTATTTATTTATGCATACAAGAGCTGGGGTACAGGTCAGAGATGCAGGGGTAAGGGGATGAGAGGATTCACCAGAGACAGAGTGGGGAACAGAACAGGCAGACTGACTGAAATATACTGCTGAGGGGAGCAGTGGGCGAGACTGCTTAGCCATGTGGGTTGCTTCCTGGCTGGCGGGGGATTGAACTCGTGCTGCAGAGGCTGCAGATGGCTTCATAGTGTGGTGCTTAACCCCTTATGCCACCAGGGAGGCCCCAATATTTAATAAATTAATCCATACTCAGAACATCACTTGGCATGGTGGTAAATGTCCAAACTATTATTTAATAGTTCAATTTTTTAAATAAGAAATTTTTAAAAATTGGACATGTTTTCTATATATTACTATATTGGGGTGATAATGGATTTCAGATTTTCTTTTCATAGTATTGTACTAATTAGCTGTCTTAGCACTTGCCAAACTGGACTGGATTTAGAAATAGCAGATTTCTAGAGAAAGTGTTAGGGCCTTCTTTTCCATATGCTGCAGCTACCATCTCATTAAAAAATGCAAAACTCAACATTTTTGCAGCATAGATAGGCTTCCAGGACAAATGTGACACACCCCCATACTCCCCCTCCTTTGGCTTCCCCCCTCCCCCACCTTGGATACATCCCTGGCTTTGATATTGGCTATTTTATACTTAATTGCTTTGTTTTTACACAAGTTAAATTTTGATAAATTAGGGTCTCCCCGGTGGTGCAGCGGTTGAGCGCTGGGTTGAGAAGCTGCCCGCAGCCTCTGCAGCGCTGGTTCGATCCCCGGCTGCTTCCCGGCCACCAGAGGAGGGTCCCACATGGCGCACAGACCTCTCCTGCCGCCCGCTGCTCCCCTCAGCAGTGTACTTCGGTCCTTCTGCCTGCTCTGCTCCCCGCTCTGGCTCTGGTGAATTCTCTCACCCTCCCGTGCTTCTGACTGTACCCAGTGCTTGTATAAATAAATAAATAAATAAATAAATAAATAAATAAATAAATAAATCTTAAAAAAAATTTTTTTTGATAAATTACTCATCTTCTTTCAAAGACACGCATATCCAATATTTATTTCCTATATTTTCCTATAAACTCTTTTAGTCCACATTATTTGCTCATTTTGTGATAGAGTAAAATAATTCCACTGAGCAGGCTGGACTCCTTTCTCAATGTTTAACCAACAAACTAAGGCCTGGAGGCAGTGGCTGCAATGCCCCCAGGCTAGTAGCCTCTTGCTGCTTCTTCCCTTGCTCTCTCCTCAGACACCCCTCCCCAGTATCACCTCTCTAAAGGTGCCAGAATTATGCTCAAATTCGGGCCCTCTGCATTTGGCACCACCTTGCCCTGGGATTAGCACCAGCCAAATCCCTGCATGTTTTTCTCAATGACTTAAGAGTTTTCAGACAAAAAAAGTATAAAATACAGAATAATACTTTGTTAGCTATGAATGTGGATTTGAAAAAGATGAGGATATGATCTGCATAGGTTCCCCGCCCAGGTTGAGGAAGCCAAGTCCCAGGTGGCAGCCACTGTTGGCCCGCGGCAGACACTTAACAAAGTTGTCTTTGTTCTACTCTCACTCCCACTCTCCTCTCCCCCTCCGCTGCTCTACCTCTTCCTCTCTTTCCCTTCAAAGCAAACACACTTAAGCCTTGCATACTGCTGTTTGGAGTATAAATTATTGTGGAGTGCATTTTGGTAAACTGCAAAATGAACCTTAGGTATACCTACTCTTTAAAAAAAAAAAAGATTTATTTATTTATGCATACAAAAACTGGGGTACAGGCCAGAGATGTGGGGGGGGGTGAGTGGATTCACCAGAACAGGAGGATTGACTGAAGTACACTGCTGAGGGGACCAGCGGGCAAGTCAGGAGAGGTCTGCTGCTCCATGTGGGTAGCTCCCTGACCGGGGATCAAACTCGTGCTGCAGTGGCTGTGGACAGCTTCATAGGTTGCGTCTTAACCCCTTGAGCCACCAGGGAGGCCCGAGAACTCATTCTTGAACACTAATGGATATAACTTAGGTGACTTAGTATGACTAAGGTTAGTTTCTGATTTTTTTTTGGATTTATTTTATTTATTTATGCATACAAGAGCTGGGATGTGGGCCAGAGGTGCGGGGAGTGGGGAGTGGAGGGCGGAGGGGGAGGGTGGAATGGGAGGATTCACCAGAGACAGGGCGGGAAACAAAACAGGCAGACTGACTGAAATACACTGCTGAGGGGAGCAGTGGGCAAGACAGGAGAGGTCTGCTGCGCCATGTGGGTAGCTCCCTGGCTGGCCAGGGATCGAACTGGAACTGCAGAGGCTGCAGACAGCTTCACAGTGCTGTGCTTAACCCCTTGCGCCACCAGGCAGGCCCATTATACCTGCTCTTTGACCCAGCAATCCTGTTTCCATTCTTCATTCATTTATTCTCTCATTCGGTAAGTGTTTAACTAGTCCTACTATGTGCTGGGCCCGTGCCAGTCTCTGGGGATGGAATTCCCTTCTGGTAATTTAAGAAAATAACTAGAGAAATACAAATGTATTTACATTACAATGTAAATACAAAGATTTTTCTTCACTGTTTGAATAGTAAAAAACTGAATAGTAAAAAATATCCATCAGAGGTTAGTGGAATAAATAATGTATTTTCAATTTGATGCAATTCTAAATCATTACAATTATGGTATAGATACATATTAATTGGTATTGAAATCTGTTCACAATATACCAGCAAGTCAAAAATATGTTATGAAACATATGCATAGTAAAATCACATTTTAAATATATATTTATAAATTTAGGACTAAATGCAAACATTTAAGAACTTGTAAGAGTGGATACAGTCAAGTATCAATAGTACTTGGAGTTAGGGAATTCTGGGTGATTTTTAATCCCCCTTTTGATTTTTTTGTAGTTCAAAAGTATTTTTCTATGACTGATAGTTACTTGTATTATTTGAGTAGTTTAAATAGCTAATAGGAATTTGGGGATTTATTTTCTGACTGAAGCAAGGACTGGAAAAATGTACGCGAGCCACGAGGGCGTATGTGCAAGATTTCCGAGAGTTCTCAAAAAACATATCGGTATTGCTGGGAAGATGTCAGACCTACACGAGCGAGTATAAGAGTGCGGTGAACCAGCTGGCGCTGAGAGTGGAACGCGCCCAGAGGGAGATCGACTACCTGGAGTACCTGCGCGAAGCTGACGTGTGCATAGAATCAGAAGACAAGACACTGGCAGAAAAGCTGGCCCAAGAAGCTGAAGAAGATAAAAAGATCAGGACTCTGCTGAATGCAAGTAAGAGAACTGCATCTTTTATTACCCCCTCAGAGACCTTCACACTCACAGACACAGACTCAGCACCGGTAGGGGCTGATGAAGGATGGAGTAAGGGTCAGAACTGGATCCATGTGTACATGTGCTGGAAGAGACTCCTCAGTAGGGCGCAGGTGTTGGAAGGAAGTTCCAGTCTCAGAAAGCAGCTTTGACTTTCACAGGGATATCCTAAAGACCCCATAGAAAGTCAGGGCTTTGGTGTCAGGGGTCAGCCCAGGAAGGGCTTCTCCTGAGAGATCTTGGTTGATTGAGTTGTGTGGTCCCAGAGCCTCCCAGGGAAAGCCATGGGGTGGTAGAGACGCCCTGCGTGGGAGGAGCAGGGAGCAGTTGCAGATGTGCCAGGCAATAGTCTGAAATTGGAAATGGCAACAAGCACCCCTCAGGGCCAGGCACTGCTGTGAGTTACTATCATATGTACTGTCAGGATGTTGATATCCAGGGGCTTTGTTGCCATTCTTGTAATCCATCAGAATCACTTCCAGGCCATTAAGAATAATGGTTAGGAACTCAAACTATAATAACAAATATCACCAGCAAAAACATAAATGAGAAGGGAAATTTCCAGGCATGAGTCCATCTTATTAAAACAATGAGGGAGATAAGTCCCCCAGCTCAGAGTTGGTATTCTGCATTGGTTTCATTGCAAGTAGGAGTAACTTTATTTATATGGTAATTATGCCCAAATACGAGCAAGCAGCTCCACCAGGGAACTAAGGCACAACCTGAGGGTCATCATTGTGCCCAAGGTTTCACCTATCTTTTCAAAGTAATCCTTATTAAAAGAACTCAAAGGATAGAAGGGTCTTCCAAAGAGATGACACTAGATCTGCATTGTAGACAAAGAAGTTAAAGAAGAATGAGCAGAGAGCACTTTTAGGGTGGATATATCATGTCAGTGTCGCTAGGATACGTAATGTGGACATGGAGTGAGTAAAAGCTGTGGGGGCAGGTGAGTGTAGAGACAAGGTGAAGAATTCAGCAGGACCCATATAATGTAAAACCTTGCAATGCTAAAATAAGGGCATTAAATTTAACTGGAGAAGCTATCAAGAACCAGTGAATCATTTTAAGGAGGGGCATGACATGAAGAGGACAAACCTAGACAGAGAACACACCCACGGGAGTACTGTGTCGTCTGGGAAATGGGTGATGGTGTGTGTATTGCGCCAGCGAGATAAGAGAGAAGATGGTGCTGAGAGCCATTAAAAGTTGGAGTCGGTATGACTTGGTGGCTGATAATAAAAGTGAAAAGTGAGTGAGAAGGATGAATTTAGGATACTTCTCCAGGTTTTTGGCTTATTATTGGTGGTTGGTAGGAAACATGTTGAGATAAGAAGCTTGAGAGGAATTTTGCAACACTCATTACTATTTTTGTCAGAGCACATATTACTCAGTTCCTGGTTCATTCATTTGGTCACAGCTTATTTTCTGCCTCCCCTGGATCATGAGAACCTGGATCCTGCATGGCATATTCAATGCTGTATTCTTCATGCCTAGAATAGTGTCTATGTTCAATAAATATTTTTTAGTAAATAGCCAAGTGAGCAAATGAATGAATGGATTGGGGGACCATTCACCAGGGAGAGGGGTTATTAGGCTTGGATAGAAAAGAGGACATGTTATCTCTTAGTCAGCAGACAAGGAGGAAGGTGCCTTATCTATAGTGTGATGCAGCTGATCAACTTGGTCAAATAAGTGATGCTTTTTGGTCTCAACATGGCCTTGAGATGAACCATCCTCTGAAAAGGAGCAAAGGGAGATATGTAGGGGAAAGGTGGGGAGGGTCTTATCTTCTCTGATCTGTTTGCTTCCCTCAACATAAACTAGATCATACTACCCCTTTTTGTAATTTTTTTTTTTTGGTCATTTGCCAATTATCGGTGTCAAAAAGTCAACTCAAATCTCTTAGCTTTTTATATGGGGAAGAGTCTTCACAAAGTGGCCCAAAGTCATCTCCACTCTCTTTTACTCCGCCCTTAATTTCTCCATATGCAGTTACAATATGAAAATATACCTAAGTGTATTCTAATGTTTTTCTACCCCCTCTTATGATTCAAAACTACCGTGGATTCTCCGTGAATTCCCCCACTGGGCAGTTGTTCCACTGTATTCCTAGAGCACCTCACTCAGTCCTCCCGTGAACATCAGTGCTCTTGATCACACACGTCTGTGTGCTTTCGATTCTTCAACTAGACCATGAACACACTGACACCCTCATTTCTGTATTCATAGGCCTCCCCTGGAGGAGGCTGAAATGTCTCTAGAAGAAATACTGATGGCAAAAGTCCCTCAGAGCTTAGTTTAAGGAAAGACAAACCTGTAAACTATCACAACCATGTGATTAGTGCTCCCTGACCTATAATTTTCAGAAGTTCTCTGTCTTAAGATCGACTTTGGCATGTCCATTTATTCCCCTACCATGTGTGCTTTGTATTTTACCTACTGTACACCTGCCCCACTTGTGGGCCATTTCTGTTAGTAACTCTGCCTGTATTAGTTTTCTAATGCTGGGTAACATTATCACAGCTTTAACAAAATTAACTGATTTGGGACCTTAATGATAACTGCAGAATCCTTTCATCTTTGCCTTATGTCCCCTGAAAGGTGCTTTCCTATCGTGTTCATGGGCCCGGCCCTTGCAGGAGGGCATTATGCAGGGAATGAGACCAAGGGTGGGACTCTTGAGGGCTATTGCATAACTCTGCCTACCTGAGTGCACTAGTCTGGTTGGCCCAGCTGGTGTGGCTGATTGCCTGTACCACCATCCTCTGCAGATGCTGACCTTCTTTTCTTCAACCTCTACCTGAAGGCTCTCAACACTAAGTCCTTAAGTCTCAAGTCTGAAGCTTTGCATGGACAGACATGTTGAGTATATGAGTGAGGCAGGGGTCGCCAGAGGGCACATCACAGGATTTTATTCATACATATACTCTGTAGTAGAGGTTTTTTTTTGAAAACCTGTAGGGAGAAGATGATGCAACTTCCTTGGAAAATTCAGCCTGTGTCTTAGGAGACCTCCAAGTAATTCTAACATCAGTTCAAATAGTTTTTATTTATTCTAGGGATATTTCTTGGGCAACAATAAAGGGCCAAATACTGAAGATAATTAGTAGGATAGAGTTGTTCTATAATTACACCATTTCTTACAGAACGGTTCTCAAGACTTCAACCTTTATTTGTTTATTTTTAAGATTTATTTTTATTTATACAAGAGCTGAGGTACAGACCAGAGTTGAGGGAGGGTGAGAGGATTCACCAGAGACAGAGCAGGGAGCAGAACAGGCAGACGAACTGAAAGCACTGCTGAGGGGAGCAGCGGGCGAGACAGGAGAGGTCTGCCGCGCCATGTGGGATTCTCCCTGGCCAGCCAGGAATCAAACCGGCGCTGTGGAGGTTGCAGATAGCTTCACAGCACGGTGCTCAACCCGCTGCGCCACCAGGGAGGCCTTCAACCTTTATTTAGAGATGACTCCCAAATGATATTCATGTGAGGGACACAATCCCAGGGTTGTTTGGGGACTAGGGAAAATTTTCAGGATATTAACACACACATATACAAAAAATTTAAAATGAAGTGAGTGAAAGTTACTTGAGTAGTATCTGACTTAAGTTTGAAAATCATCCCAAGTCTTTTGTTCTATAACTTTTATTAGTAAAAAGGAATTTTTGCTTTGCACTTGATGGCTTATGGCAAAGCAACCTTCCCTTAGATATTCAGATTGAGAATTTATCCAGTTAACAGTCTTTGGCAGAATCAGCAGGCTCCAATCTTTTGTGGACAAGAGTATTAACCTCTTTTTAACTTAAAAAGAGCTTGCAAAGAAAAAGTCTGAAGGCAGTGAAAAGAAGTCATTATAGCAGATTTGATTTGATTTTCTGTTTTAGTCCAGTTTCTTTTGTTGCAAGGGTGCAGGAATGTTATCCTAAGTAACCCTCTCCCTGCTGAATTAAATAGCTCACATCTTTTGTTAGATCATGTTTCAAAGAAGAAAGTCTGTTGCTGCAAATTTAAATGCCTTTGGGATCCATTCAGGTGTCAATGTGCCTGCCTCATATTCAAAGTTATTAAAAACAAAGCAAAAAAAAAAAAAAAAAAGCAAAGTGAAAATCCACTGGAAGCCAAATAAGACATATCTGTGTGCCAATTCCCAAGGTCCACTAGTTTGTGATGAGCAGAACAAAATAATCAGAGATATGTGACTCTAATTTGTAGATTATTTAACACAAAGGAAAGGATTAGTCTATGGTGCAGGTGCACTTGAGCATACACACTCACATGCACCAAAAGTTGCTGCATTTGTGGTGCCAGCAACACCAGAGGTATGTGTACAGCTTTTCCTGTGCTGTTCCCTGGAGAGCCCCTTAGGCCAGATGCTGGCTCCAGAAAGGCCCATGCATGCAGCACTGCTTTTGCTTGTTTATCTGGGGAGACTGCAGTCTACGAGATCTCCAGTTCCCACACAACGGAGACCAACAGGAGATCCTGGCGTTGTGAGAACTGATAGCTCATGGCCGCAGTGGGGTGACCCTCCATTCATTTTCTTGTAATCCATTCATTGTTCATTCCTTTAACAAGTGTCTAACTGAATCCCAGATATATGTCGGCAGTGTGCTGGCCATTAGAGATGGCACATTGGATGGATAACATCCTTGTCTTCAAAAAGCTTATGGTCAAGTGAGGAAGTATTGAAACAAGCCCAGAGTAAGAGCCCAGCAGCGACTGTGCTGGAGGGTGTCACAGAAGCACAGCAGCAGGCGGCAGTAAGTCAGGGTTGCCATGGAGATGGCAGGGGACCTCTGGAATCTGGAAAGTAACTCTAGTAGAGGTTTAACGTTGGAAAAGCACTAATTAAATGGAGACTAGAATAAAAGGCACTTCAAGTAAGTGAGTAGCACGTGGAGCACATGATGAGGCTCAGTGTTGCCTAGATCTCAGGTGGAAGAAGCTGGGCAGCAGAGGT